TCCTATCACAACTTCTCACTTGTTTAAATTCCACTCGTGAGAAGTTGTGTTAGGGCGGCAGTGGGATAAGAGTGTAAAGAGTAGATAGATAGGCAATGACAGAAAGAGTAGTGATTATATAACCGTTTTCGGCAGAATGGTTGTCGAGGCATTGACTTCTATTGTCTCTTTGACGAGTTCGTAGCTTGGTGCGGAGAATGGCAAAGTTCACTGATGATGCCGGCGAAACGTTTGAGAATGTACCAAATTCATTGTCTGATGCTGGGAATCATGACAACTACTACGGCAGACGACTTCGGACTAGGCACGTTCTACTAAGTCCCCCTGACAACAAGACCAAGTTGCGACAACGAAGTCAACCCAATTCAATGTAAAATATAGCCAAAATAAAGCGCGTAACCATATCCTTTAAAGCTAGTGGGATTAGAGTACCAGTAAAGAATGAGGGCTAAATAAGGCTACCTGATCTCATTGTGGGAAAATGTTAACTATCAGACAGTTTCACCCGATACAACCTGAGCTGACTGGAAATTGTAATTAAGACCTAATCAAAACCTAATCTGGAAAGGTCACTAGGATTATGAAGTTGTTAACAAGAAAATGGAGATCAATAAAAAGTGCTACTTGATGCCCAGGACGTCGATGAGACGGCAGCTTTAGTGTGTATGGATAATAGAAGCTGAGCAAAGATTCAAACCTTAAGCTCAAACAAAACCTCGTCGACTCAGGACCTTTATTGTTATCATCACTAGCCCCTTTTGAAGGGAGGAAAGAACATTTCTCTATTTATTAAATGAAGATTAGTCAAAGTTACCTACGGCCGAGAAGACACTTAATAGAAGATTTTAATAATGGGCTCACGGTTTTTTAAGGAGACCCCAACTTTTGTTTCAAATAAATATCCTATAAACTGTATAAATGAACACCAAGATTGTTGAGGTTACTTTCATTTCAAGTGTAAGTGTTTGGTGAAGATATTCGAAGGTCAATACCATCAGAAGACGATGGCAAATTTCTCTTGACCATTCTTGTTGACACCACTTCTTTGAAACCTAACTTTTTTTCGTATCTATATTCCGGCAAGTAATTATTAAAAATTTGCATTTCACATAAATTAGGACCTAGATATTGTTTTTTTTTGGTAGGCGTCAAGGTTTACCTACTTCCACTAATAAGAAATTGGAACGGATATCAAGTGGTTTAGTTAAGACAAGACTAAAAGTAAGTATAGATTAATTACAAGACCTGATTATACCCCAAACCAGACTTAAACAGAAAAATTATGTGCAAAGAAAAGTTGGGTTTCGAGGTTACTTCCATTTCGAGCGAAAGCGTGATTCATTTAAATACTTCAGAAACATACAGACTTTTAATGAAGGATTTCACAGCGAGTTTTAAGGCCAACATAAATGAATCTTTAACGTTTGTGTAAGCAACGGATAAATTGACAAGTGGAAAATAAATTCATTTCTTCCAAGGGAGGGTAGGGCACCTTCGGCTTAAGGGCTTCCAAGGAAACACAAAGAGGAAGTAGTTAATAATAAGGGAAGTGTGATGGATAGGATTTCACGATTCCTATGTAGACAATTGAGAAAAGTGACTGAGTATTGGAAATATTCAGTGAAGAATTCATATGAATTTGTTGTATTGATAGATCAACAGAGTATCAGAGAGGAGGACCTCCTGGTGAGTTTTGATGTGATACCAGAAGGCTATTATAGCACTAGCACTCAACATGGATGACCACTTAGTTACTATTAAGGAAGAAAACCTGAGCAATAACTCAAACTTAAGGTTACTTAATCTATAAGATGTATTCACCCAATTTCGTTTAAGGTGATGAACGTTTCAATTGAAAATTCACATAGCCTTGCTTTCCCAAAGGATGTTATCAACCAGGCACCAGTGGACTGCAGTTTCGACCTCGCATCGGTCTTATCAACACCCCCAGCGGGATTCGAACCGTGACAGTGCAGAATGGGAGCATGACAGGTGAAACACTCTACCACATTGCCACGAATGCTCTTGGGTCACAGGGCAAATGTGAATTTCAAGGAAGGCCAGGTCTTTTGTCATATCACTTTCTTTTGTGGGATTGTCGATGAAGCAAACGTATATTACTGATTTACTGGTAGTCCAGAAACTCTACTTTTATATGAAAAATACTTAATCTATCCATGAGTAGCGCATACTTGACATTTAAGGGTAAGGTTTATGAACATGTGCAAGGCCCAGAAATGGGATCTTGCTTGGATCCTATTTTAGCTAATATTTACATGTCAGGAATGAAGGAACTCTTCATTGAAGAGGTAAGATTGGCTCCAAAACTGTTAGTTAAATGCATGGATGACTACTTTGCCATATGGCAGCATGGTAAGGCTGGCTTAGATAATTTCTTATTCCTAATTAACCAGACTGATTAAAATGTTAAGTTGACAATGGAGATAGAGAAAGACAAAAATTTACCATTTTTAGAGGTTTTATTGATAAGAGCATGTGAGAAGTTAAGCAGAGACGTATATAGAACGCCAACACACTAGGACTTTATCCTTGATTTCATCTCGAACCATAGTTAAAAGAAAAGGCTGGCGTCTTAAAATTTATGCTTATCGGGAGCATAAGACTAGACGATAGAGAGAATTGTGATAATGAATTGGATCGGATCAAACTAAGATTTGTAGAAAATAATTATCTCTAGGTTTTACTAAAAATAGCATTAGATTAATAAGGAATATTTTTTTAATCGAAGTTATGAAGACCAAGATGGTAGCAGTCTCCTTTCGTTGTATAGTGGTTGTTTGACCTTGTTTTCGCAACATGGTCATATTGGTAGGAAGAC